TGTTAAAGAAAATGGCATACGAAAGGTTATTCTTTATTCCGAAAATTGCGGTGGTCAAAACTGTAATCGTTTTGTTTTTGCGATGTTTGCTTATGCATCAATGACTTTGGATTTGGAAATAACACACCGTCTTCTTGAAATTGGCCATACGCAGAATAAAATGACAGCATGCATGCTGTGATTGAAGTTGTTAAAAAACATCATTGTGCTATATACACTCCTGATAGTCCTGATCAGTGGATTAGTCTAATAAAAATGGCCCCACAGTACAAAGTAAAAGAAATGTCTCAAGAAGATTTTGTAACTTTTAAACCAATGGTAAAGAAACAAAACTGGAAAAAAGATATTACTGGAGAGGCTATAAAAATCAGCAAAATCAGAGAAATCCACTGCAATCCAAAGTGTCCCAATAAAGTATTTTTTGTGTATAATTTTGGAGAAAATCATAAAGAACTAGACTTACAAATAAAAAATACACGCAAACGCGAAGAATATCAATTTCCAAGATTGTATCAAGGTTTGCTGCCAATTGATGGTAAAAAATTAAGCGGTCTTTTGGGTCTGTGTAAGGCTAATACGATACCACCGATGTATCATGGATTTTACAACTCTCTTCGGCCTGCTAGTAAGACTGACCACCAGGAAGAAAGTAATATTGACCAAGAAGATGACTGACTGAATCGTAATAAATTTTCCTTTTATGTCATTATTGATTATTAACAATTATTTTTTTATCTAAAAATAGAAACATTTTTAATTTTATTGTACCTTATTAGTGTACCAAGTAGTTCTTAATAAAAATTTTGTCCACGAAAACTGTAGTAACTCATTCAAAATCCATTGTTTTCTTATCCTAAACTATTTTATTTAGATCATCAATAATTAATTAAGACCTAAACAATAATTACTTTGTTAAAGAACGATTTAGCTCTTGTAATAAAAAAAATAGCGAACATTATTATTTTCTCAACTATTCAAATGCAATTATCTCAGTATAACCAAATTTGGGATACGACCGTTTCCCTTGGGAGAGTCGATATGCACCCTAATAACAGACAAAACCAAATAGGCCCCGATTTAGATTTTTCCCGACGGCCCCCGAATGAGCCAGACCGGGCCTGGTGATCGGTGATAATATTTAAGTTAGGGTTATATAAAATTATTTCATGTAATATTGATTTCTATTTACCAAGTTATTTGTTCTACTTAAACCATTAAAAATGGGTGTATTTATTTTAGAAATATGATAATGTTTTCTGTAATTACTTATCTCTTCCGTCTCCGATAATTTGAATGTAGGTATATAAATGGAAGTCTTTCACTTTGCTCAAATTTTTACTTATGGTGGCGAGCATCAATTACTTCACATTTTAGTAACCCCACTATCCGTATCATTGTACAATAACATGTACATGTTCGCCTCTGATCTGAAGCTTCGCACCCATCAGTTTATTTGATACATATTTAACGGGACCCTAATGCCTGCCCTGTCAGCAGTGGTCGTGCATTTCATTGCTGTTTGCGCGTGTATAAATGAGTTTGACGTTTCCTTGGTCGAGTGTATGGCAAGTGTTTTATGGCATTAAGTAACATTGTAAGCATAAAGCTGCATACGGCTTGACCACAGATTTAGCCTATTTCTGCTACTGCAATGCGTATTGCCACTTACTATAGCTTGATATAGGTTACTACTGTTTATTTATTTGACCGTCACCACAAAGTTTCCGATGTCTCGTTATAAGCAATTTATAAATGATGTCGACATTGTCGACCACAGACCACCATGCCGACGTATAGTTATCGCGGCACTACTTTATGGAGTGAAGGACCACATTAACCATATAGTATGATTGATGTCACTTCATAATGAATAACATAAAGCTGATGTTAATTTTTTATTTACTTTAAAATGCTTTTGGAAACAATAATAAGTTATTATAATAACATACGTTCATTCATATAGTGTTTTTTTCCAGAAACCAAACTGTAAGAATTAATTCTAAACATACTCGGGTCGGCTGGTACATTAATTTCTAAAAACATAAATAGTAACGATAACGTAATTGTTTTTATTAGGGCAAAGATTTAGCTTTTCTGCTTTACCAGTTTATTAATTTTATCCCATCCTTTCTAATTCTAATACAACTAATCTTAAAATATGTGCAATTTTAAAGAAAATAGGTACCTATGTTTCTATTTATTTCAAAAGCATTAATGAGCAATTATTAAAATTAAAAATATATTAATACTATTATGTTTGACAGCGGCAACATATTAAATGCTGGTCCTGTTATAACATTAACTAGGTACATTTTATTTGTATTATGTTTTATTTATTACTTCTGAGGTATTACATGCACCTAAATGTGATCAAGCAATTAGGTATAGAATAAGTATTTTGCAATGGTGCAATTTGTTGCTTTCTAATCTGTTGAATTTATTTTCCGTTTTATGTTTTTTCCTTTCTTTTAATTTAAGTTAATGTATTATTCTTATTCATTTTAAATTGCATGTACTTATAAATTTAATAATTTCCATTAGGTACTTATGTTTTTATTTCATTTCCTGAGTAAATATAAAAAATGCCTTTTGCACAATTAACCTTCGTGCATTAGAATGTTTTAGATAAAAAATTTCAATTACATTTTTTTAGAAATAAGTACATAAAATGTATCATAGCAGTCTTAAAATTTGCAATTATTAAAGAAGTCATATTTCCCAACTGCTTGCATTCGGTTGTAATCATTGTATGTCTTACTTTGACTTACTTTTTAACTTAAAAAATAGTTTAGCGTTTGATATAAAATCATTTTCTCATCAAGCATGAACTACATCTAAACATTGTCCTTCTGATACAGGTCTTTTCTTGGATTCACGAAAAATGAATGTATGTTTCATCCATATAAACAATTGGTTGATCCTCTTCATGGTATTGTTATATTTAAAGTCTTGGATGTCATGACGTTCCATGAATAGTCGTCAGTTCCGTGCCGAGTAGAATGATGAAGTTTCACAATTTGCAATATTTTTCCCTTGCTTCACAATATTGTTCAGTGTACTCATACTAATGTGAGCTGCCTCTGCCACTGTTTCTTGCAATTTCCCTAACAGAAATTTAAATATATTGTGTACAATTTCACGACTTTCACATGTAAAAAGATTGTTTTTTGTTTTGATCAAAACGCCGAATTTTTATGAAGGGTGCTTTAAAAATAAAACATTCTTACACCAAACGATATTCTGTTGATAAACTTTTCATTGAGAATGTCAGAGTTCAGATAATTAAACATTGTTGCATATTCTTCAAATTAATTAATCAATAAATTTAAAGCATGTCAGTTTAAAATATAAATAAATGAATAGATCATCCCTACAAAAGAGTGTGGATAAGAAAATGCCTGGAATACTTTGAGCACATTTTTCATACCCTACTTTCAAATAGGCCTTTTGCACATGCCGGATTTTTTATTTTAGTTCACATATTTAAATATGGCCTTATTTAAAATTATTAATTATAAAATCTTTTGTGAAAAATTCTACTCGAAAATTGACTAAATCGTACATTGAAATTTAGAGATGAGCATCCTGTAGGGGCGTGTCGTAGAACGAGTTGCTATTACAGCGACGTCGTCGGTAAATAAATTGGCCACTCCACATTAGAAAACGATGTCGGTTCTATTACTTCTTAAAAATATTTATTATTTTTAGTTTACATACGATACGATAACGATACTGATGTGCTGTTATATTTACTAACTGGTTTCCATTTTGTTATGTAGGTATACCTAAATATGAACCTATGTAGCAAAATAATTAAGTCTGTGTAGGTAGGTATAATATTTAATTTTTACGACGTTTAGTTCAAGTGAGCTTTCCGCGCATAGCATAATATTATTTACTACCTAAATAATATTTTGAATCTAAATTTGTTATTTTAAATAATCATAATTAGTTTTTAGTTTTTAAAAAATTCTCAAGAATACTTGCAATATGACCGAACAAGGTTTATATGAATCAGACAATTTACCGAATTCCATGATGATTGCGGAGTTTTTTCGAAAAGCATTCTATTTTCTTCGGCAGAAATAAGGGGAATAAAGCAAACAGGTACGAGAATGTGATTTATAGGTATCTACATAAATTTATTTTAAAATACATTTTTTTCTGGTATTTTTACTAATGTATGTTCACATGTCGGTACAATAGTATGGTTTAAAGGGATTTGCCATTTGCCATAGTTATTATAAGTTTAAATTTACAGTATATATAAGGTATCGTACTGCTTATTGACACCACTACACACATTTAATAACCAAAGCAGTCGGCTGCACTGTCGAAACGCTTATATGTCGCGCTTGCCATTTACCACATACTTCTATCCGGATAGAAGTATGTGCCATTTACTTACCGATGACGTCAATGTATCGACATCCCAGTCCATGGCGTTTGCGCTTGAAGCGAACCGATTAAAACTTTAATATCCAATAACTTTTTAATAATAAGATAATCTAACAAAACCTTTTTTGTTTGTAGCATTCAGTGTAGATACGAAAACTATTAAAATATGTTTTCCTGCAAGGGGCCTATTGACTACTGTCTGCTAAAAAATTCAAGATAATGTATCTTTTAGGGGCTTACTATATAAATTTTAATAACAGCCGGCAACCAGTAATACAGCTAAACAGATGCACAAATTAAATATGTGTAGGTACAATACTTTATTTTGACTACAAACTTTACAATTGATATCAAATGAAATAAACAAAATAAGAAGCTACGAGGCTTTTAATATATATCTTGTTATTTAATCGTAAAATGTTGTGTTTAGGTAGATGAGCTGTAACGCAATTGAAGTTAGCCAATTTGGTATGACTTAAGCATCGACAAACGCAACGAATAACAAGAGAGCCAGGAATACTCTTAGTCGGAATCGAAAACAAAGACAACAAGGAACTGGATACGCAAATAATTTTTCATGCCCTTTATCTCTTTTACTTCAAAAAAGTGTAATGTATTCTGTGGTGCCCTGTGGTAGTGAATAGTGATTGCTTGCTAGGAGCTGAATAAATTATAGTTTCCCTGATTTTATATTATACATGGAAACAGTATATTGTTCCAAAATACCAATATGTGAAAAGGAGGAATAAAAATAAAGAGGTATATATATGTATAAAATGACTATCTTTAATGGCAACTGTTTATGTAGGTTATATTTTGATTTTAATCAATTTGCATGCATAGTAAATAAAAACAAATTTATTTGCGTTTCACGTTGTACTTAACATTGAATTATTTCAGTAATAAATTTATTCTGTAAGCGTTTATGATTTAACTTACAAATAGAGATACAAAGACCGATAATATTTGTGTACGATCATTTTAAAATAAACAGTGTGAGGAAGAGTTCTGAAAATAATTCTTGTTTCAGGATAGTATTATTACGAAGACAATTCGAAGAATCAAGTGATGTATTTACAATGCGGAAATCTACTTAGGAGCCACCATGAAATCTTCAGACAAGTGCCCCAGAAAAATGGAAAAAATATCAGTGTTGTGTAACTTAGAAATTTGGAAACATAGTAAATGGAGGACTATTGATAAATTAAGATAATAACAGTCACTGTAAATTTCTTTACATTCCGTAAATTTTGTGCCATAAGTTGAAACTAAATTATATATTAATCTCGATATTAACCATAACTCAAATAACCAAAGTCAATAGTATTACTAAAATAAGGTAACAGCTATAGTGTGAAATGTGCGACGACTCTAGGCCCCTATTAGGGGGTAACAATAAATTACCTTCTGTGAGGCATTTCCCACAAAGAATTAAGAAAAAAACTAGATGGATCTTAAAACCGGCAACTCTAAGGAAGTGTGTGATTGCTATTATATTTTTCTCTATAATTTTGATTATAATATATTCCAGACAGACTCGTACACCCTATCTAGCTACGTAAGTATATCTTTTTTATTAGGTATATTATTTTAATGTAAATAGGTCTACCTACGTACATAATATGTTCTACAAAATCTAAAACAAAATATGTCCAGTATTATAAATACTATACAACAAATTATATATGTAAGAAATAATTTAAAATAGAAATTGACATTTTATTAATCATACATTTTTTTTCCTAAAATTACTGATAAGGATGTAGGCGTTAAGTTGTGGGTCACAATATCTTAGTATATGACCAGTTATTTGCAACAAGAAATAAAATATATTTTAACACGCAATTGAAAATTAGGACTAATAAACATTTAATTGCACGTCTATGCTAAAGTCTGCTGTTATTACTTTTAGAGGACTAAAGTTTTAATATGTTTAGATTTAACGTTAATGTATATTTAAACAATGAGATTTATTTTATCTAAATGTTTTAATATATAAATTTATAGTTCTGTGGAAATATTTGTTTTTTAATCATTGAATTCTTTAGTAACCTTGACATATTTTTAATTAAATTGTTAAAACTTGATAAACTGTTTAATAAATATCGCTAGATGATTTTATGGTATACTAAAATGAATAACCAAAGTGTAGGGTAATTATGAGTAATTACGAAAGGAGCTAGATATCCCAAGAACTATTTATTTTTCTTTTAATTTTTTATTTTTAATTCTGTGAATCCTTAAGCCTTTTATTATCGTATTGGTATCTTATTAGACACAAACATATTTTTAATTTAGTAGATATTTTCTCTTTTTTATTTCTAATAAATATTAAGTATATGATGATAAAACTATTTCAAAACCATAGATTTTAAATAAAATCTTTTAACATAATTTGGTTGTTTAATAAGGTTTTTTATTAAAATATTTTTTTTTGTTACAAACAAATTTTGCACATTATGCATTATAAATATTTCTTAATAACATGGACTTTGAAACCTTGCCTATAACTACTGGCAATAAAATATTTGCAACAAATAGTATGCTCCTGCTTGAGTATAATATAAGTAGGTACCTACTATATAATTATGTAGTAGGTATGTACTTAGTTTTCATTACATATTTATGGAATATATCTCACATTTTTACCTTAATAAATGGTGTCAAAACAAATCTAATATTAATTTTAGGCATCTCTTTTATTTATTAGCTTTGTATGCAATTTTATATAATAACACGTCTCAGAAATACATGCCAAAATTTTAACTACGTATTTAACTCGTTAGAAGTAACAAGTTTTACCTAATATTTTTTTTTCACATTTTTATCACTTGTTTTACCTACCCTATAAGACATACTAATAAATTCTGCCTACGATTTAAAGAAATACCAAACTATTGTTTACTAATGTTTTATGAAATGACTCACTTTAATTTTTTCATTTCATTTTTTAAAATCTTTTACTACTTACCATAAATGCTAACACTAATACCCATTTTTTGTGCTTTTTTCTGTTTATTATTAATTTATCCAAGCGTTTCGACCTATGTGTCTGGGTATCAAGAATTTACAAGTTTAAAAAATTGTTATCTTAAAAACTAAGATGGGGTGGAATCCACAGGAGTAATTTAGTTTACAAGCTTGAGTAATATTTGAGTAGTACTTGCGTAATATTTCAATTATTAGACAGAAGTTATTGCTTTTGATGAGCTAAATGCATGATTAAAGTATTGGCACTTATTCCTGGAATACCGTGGATCTAAATATTACATGATATTCTCGGTACTCGGTAAAATAAAATTATTTACTATTGCTTTACGGTTAATATTTTAGAATATACCAATTTAACCGTACTGTCAAGTTTTTATTTTAATTCCTAATTATATTCAAAATAGTAATACTTTCTTAGAAAAACTTTCTTCCTTGCTTTCTACTAGTTTTATAATAAATAAGTTTTATACCTACTATCTTACTTTGTGGTAAGTTTTTATATAGAGAGTGAGAATATTTCATATAATCAACTTCAAATTTAAAGCCATTTTAGAAATTTTATTTTGCATTAGAATTTGGTAATCACAGCTAATCATAGTCAGGTGGTAGGTCGAATGTACAAAGTAATTAGCTTTTAAGTGTTCACGATTCCAAAATTATGGTTAATAAAAAAACATTAGGTACCTATTATTAAGACAGAGGTTAAAACTAAATTAAAGAATGGCACTTTGAGAAGTAGAAAAAATTTTATCAGTTACATAGAAATAGGAGTATAAACCTAAAATATTTTTCTATCATCACAATTCTAATATTCCAGAAGAGGTTTTTTTTAAGCAAATTAATCCTTTTTTTCATAGACAACATATTTCAACAAACCATTTTTTATACCATTGTTCTTTATCTTTTTTATCAAATTCAAAACAACTTACACTTAAGTAATATTGCCAATTTTGAAATAAAAAATGTAATTGAATAGATATATTCTTCAATAAATCAACAAAGTACTATTGAAAGATATTTACAGTGGAAGTGCACACCTATTTGTAAATGAAATAAAAAGTACAAAAAGTGATAGTATCTATAGTCTTTCCGAAGTCAGTTGAACATGTACAAAAACGCCTAGCAATAAAATTTAATGAGTATCATAATAATTTGAATATAATGTGTAGAAAAGTTCTATTATACAACAACATAAGTATTTTCTTTGTTTATGTTCTCAAACAATTTTATTATATTGATGGTAATTTTTTTTTTGTTCCGGGCTCCAAAATGACATGAAATAAAGTTAGTAAACAAAATATCCCTCTTATATCTCCCTTTCGCAATTGTAATATCAATGATTAATAGAAGGTGCTATAATAAATTAAAATTACCTGAATCACACCAATTCCGCATTGTGCACTGCACTGCTAAATAATTTCTCAACAGCTGAGATTTATTGCCCAGTCACCCAGTGTCAGTGTGTTATACGCCGTTTGGGCGTAAGTATACATTTCTACCATATCCACGCTTAGTTCGACCAGACCTATATGCGGTATGATATGGCTAAATAAATATGGTAAAAAGTTTTTCAAATATTCCAATGTCGAGTTGCTGCGTCAGCGACCGAACCTGGTACACAATGCCAACCTCTTGGTTCTTCAATTGAGATCGGAAAGACTATACCTACCTATAACAATGTTTACATTTTGACATAGGTACATATAAAAATGTATAATTTATTTTATTTGTGTATTTAAAATATGTATTTTCTGTTCAAACAATATTTCATCTTAAAATTTTTCATAGTTTAGGTATACAATTTTTACTAATTACCTAAGTACATGCACATATTGAAGAAATTTTCAATATTTTTAAGTTTTTGATTAATTCAATACATATTAAAACATTTAACAGGTATTATTTAATGTAATTATAAGTAAATAAATTAGTAGTATATACCTAGTACTTACCAAAGTAAGTACCATCTTCGTAGCAGTAGTCAAGAAGTATCTAAGTACTTATCATCACCAATTTGCAGAATTACGAAACTTTCATCACAAGCATTCGATTTCTAGTGTTTCTTTTTTTTTTGAAGGGTAATAATTTTTTTAATAGTAAGTAATATATAATTAATGAACTCATCTGTCTATGAAAGTACCTAGATAAACAATTAATTTTGTGTTTTTATAGTAATATAATGCGACAATTTATTTACTTCTCATTTTGAGACTTCACACTGAGCAAAAATAAACGCATAAAAAATTAAAAACTACTTAAGAAATATCATAAATAAACATTTTCAGAAAATTCTTTAGGGTATCCCATTTAAAAAATCTCGGCCTTACTTATATCTTGCAAACAAAAAAAATATTTTTGTAAAAAATGTTGTACCTATAGTGGACCTAAAATGACTCACAATTCTGTGCAATATAAACAATTTTTGGAAAATTACTGTTTTCCTAGATACCTATTTAAGTCTGTTTTTTTTTTGGAGAACAAACATAATATTTTCAAAATTAGTTTTAGGCATTTATTTTCCATTAAACCGTACTCGTTAAAATATCTTATTATATCAAAAATATTTTTATTGTAAATGCTACTCAACTTTGTTTTTTTCCATACTCTCCCAAAGTTCCTGTCATCGAAAAATTTCTTAGTATTGTTCTAATATCTGTACTACTGAAAATCAAAATTACACTGAAAGTCATGAGTATGATAAATAACACTTATGCAGATCTTACGTTTTTTTTTTTAAGATGTCGGTTTGGGAAGTTTTAAACAGAGGCTAGCCATTTCTTATTTAAGACGGTTTTTGTTATAATTTTATATTTTATTTGTATACATAAATAAATTTTAGGTTCATGCATAGAAATACGAGACCTGAGCCAAATATAAGATGTGGAGTATTGAATGGCCCCAGAATCATTCAAAACCACGACCATAAGACAGATGCAAGACTGCGAAGTTACCCTAAAGTTTTAGTTTTTGTAGAAACAATGTATTCAAAGCTTGGAAGGGACATTGCCGAACTACTAGTTCACACAAGAATAAAGTTGGTTTTTAAAAGCAATTATGAATGGTTTGATACCTGTTACTTTAATATTCTAGGTACAAAATAGAAGTCACTGGTAAAAGTGTTCCAGTTTTAACGAATTTGGATAAAGGCAGATACGGTGTAATAGTGTTTGAAAATTTTAGCAAGTACCTACAGATGGATAATTGGAACAGGGAATTACTAGATAAATATTGTAGGGAATATTCAGTAGGTATAATTGGTTTCATCACGCCAGAGGAGGAAACTTATGTAGGATCTCAACTTAAGGGCTTTCCTCTGTTTATACACACTAACCTAAAATTGAAGGTATTGTAATATTTAGTATTTCTTTAAGACACTTTTTAAATATTGATATATTTACTATAAATGATGTTAAAAGTAAAATTGGTTCAATCAGTTCTAAAATTCTAGGATGCCGCACTAAACCCGGCCTCCCAAATCTTGCGATTAACCCGTGCTGGAGAAACTGCATGGGGTGAATTGCCTGGTAATGATTGGACCGTATTTCAAGCAAATCACTCCACATATGAAACTTTGGAATGGGCGAACAGAAATGATAATTTCCAAATCAATGACAGTATGTATAATAATTCTGTTAGATATTTTTCAAATTAATATAAATATTATCCATACATAATTAGTTTATTTTTCTTTGGTACGTCACCTTGTAATATAAATCGTTACTTTTTAAATAGGTGGTGTGAAAACACCGCTTCCAACGGTTATCCAGGACCATGGACTATTCGACAACATACAAAGAGTGATTTTTGGATCCGGCCTAAGGTTTTGGCTCCACCGGTTATTATTCCTGGATAGCTTATCCTATTTAAGCCACGGGCAGCTCAGCTTGTCATTAGATCGAAAATTTCTCGTCGATATCGATGATATATTCGTTGGTGAAGTAGGGACCCGTTTGAGACCAGAGGACGTAAAAGCTTTAATAAACACGCAGGCAAGACTCGCTAGTATGGTGCCTGGATTCAAATTCAACCTGGGTTTCTCTGGAAAGTATTTTCATCACGGTAATAGTGAGGAAGATAAAGGAGATGATTTAATTCTGGAAAATATTGATAAATTTATGTGGTTTTCTCACATGTGGAACCATCAACAGCCTCACTTGTATGATAATTTAACTCTGCTCATGGAAGATATGGTGCTGAACAAAAATTTTGCTAAAGAAAAAGGTAGGATTTCTCTACATTAACAATCACTTTATTACTTTTCAAAATATTTTTCCAAAAGAAAATAATATAAGCCTAATTTAATAGGAAAAAACAACTAATCAAAATTCTCACTTTCATAATTAATTACTCAAGTATTACTCGAATAATAGACAAAGACTGAGAAGAGGGAAGATGACTCATGTGCACATCGTACATGTGACGTAAATAATTATTTGAATGCCCAAATATTATTAAAATGTTTCTCAATGAATGTATTATTATACAAATATTTCTCAAACTAAAACTATCGTGGTTTCCCCTTCGCTACTTTATTTGATGGGGTATTACAGCTTGCTCAAATGAAACATTTTTATTATTACTAGTTTCATAAATTACAGTCACACAAAAAAAAAGTTGTCTGTACTGTCAGAATTGAGCTATCACATGGCAGTAATTTCCTAACCACAAAAAACAGGTCAAAAATAGCAAAAATTCACTCAATTCAATTTTCTTTCCATATTCAAATGTTTATTTATATGGTTAATACCCTGCCGAACGTGAATCTGCGGTCAGAATTGATGGTTCTTTTTCTAACCTAAAAAAAAATGTAATTGACCCATTTTTTTTCAGGCCAGATATCACGAATTTTCCGAAAATAATAGATTCGCGCCAAATTTGTTATATGGGGGATTTCGGGGTCGCTGATCACGGATCCGAGATTAATTTTGCAAAATTCAAGATGACAGATTCAAGATGGCCGACCAAATTCATTTTGTAATATTTTTGTTTACTTTATAACCCGCGTACCCAATCATATTTTAACCCTTCTTTTTTCTGTAAAAGATCTATTTATGGGTTTTCTACCTAATCTCAGGTAATAAAGTGCATAGGTAATTGATTAAATTTTTAAAAATTAACTTTGTAAATCTGATTGCGGATTCGTGATCAGTGACCCCCTTATACCAAATTTAGCGCGATTGTGTTATTTTTTGAAAATTTGGGCGGCCATATTCGATCGGTCATCTTGAATTTTGCAAAATTGACCTCGTATCCGTGATCAACGACCTCGAGAACCCCCCAATACCAAATTTGGCATTAATCTGTTATTTTTTAAAATTTGTGATATCAAACATTAATTGACCTGTTTTTTTTTTGAGGTTAGAAAAAGAACCATCAATTGTGACCGCGGATTCACGTTCGACGGGGCCTTAACTATATAAATGAACATTTGAATATAGAAAATAATTATTTTGTAATTTTCCTAGCACTTTTTCGTGAATTTTTTCTATTTTTGACCTGTTTTTTGAGGTTAGACAATTCCTGTGATGTGATAGCTCAATTCTGACACCGGATTTGTGATCAGGATCCAAAAATACTACGGATAACATAATATGTCACATGAAAAGTACAGACAACTTTTTTTTGTGTGGCGTGTTATCATTAATAACTATATACATAATTGCATTAATAATTCAATGTTATATGCCTCTCCAATAAAGTCGTAGACTTGAACCATCATGGAATCTTTGCATGGCCGATAATTTATGCCTATATGCATATACAAAGCCTTTATAAAGCGTGACCGCCGAGCTTAGACAACCCAACATTCCACGGTTAGTACTGTCAATTAAAAATAAAATCTCATGAAATATACCAATCACCAGGCGGTAAAACAGAATGTTTTAATGTAACCTTACTGTTTTAATTTTACCGAAATTTAATTGCCAAATGAAGGAAATAAAATTACTGCTCCAAACAAAATTACTGGTCACATGGCTTGTAATCATTATTGCTCTGTATTTTTGCAAAACCACATAACGTTGCCAATTTAAAGATTTTTCTTCGAATCATAGGGCTATTTTAAGTCAAAAATGTGTTCATTGGCTTTTTAAATGCTGGGACCTAGAATTTACAACACTGGCCATGTCTGCGTTACAAAATGATAAACATTGCCAAACATTCAGAGAAATGAATTTTGCTTGTTAGAATTCCCACATTGAAGGAGAACTGTAAATCATTTTTAAACTTTTTAGAGTAATTCATATAAAGTTTCATCGAAAAATGAAAATAAAAAAATCGAAAATATCTGAGATAGGTACAAGGGTTGAATTTGAAAAAATTAAATTATTTTCAGGCATATCTCGGGAACTCGTTACATAGTTTATCTTTAATTTGAAATAGAGAGTAGTAATGCGGATATTGTTTATTCAGGTGTTATTTCATATAAGCACAAAAATCCATTTTCCCACATACTCGATTCTCGGGAACCTTTTATAAAAAATAAATAATACATTTTGTTGTAAAGAAATTTGTAATTTGTTGCTTTTGAACGAGCGGCATCGTAAATTACAAATTTCTTTACACCAAAAAGTAATTTGAGTTTCAAACTAACTCCATTTTATAGAAAATCCGCGTTAAAATGGGGGAAACTCTGTTATTTGTGCATTAATTCATATTTAGACAAACTGTGTAATAAAATCTACAAAAATGTATTGCTGGTTGCTTATTTGCTATAAAGTCCTCTTATTGAAACCGGTATGAATTAGAACAGTCTTTAATTCATGTATTCATTTAATTTATTTGTATTTTTAAGGGATACCCATAGATTCTGGCTACTCTATAGCCCCACACCACTCAGGAGTATATCCAGTCCACGAACTTCTGTATACTGCCTGGAAAAAAGTGTGGAATATTAGAGTAACGTCTACCGAGGAGTATCCGCATTTAAGGCCAGCTAGGCTAAGGAGGGGTTTCATACACAGAAACATTATGGTGCTACCAAGACAGACCTGTGGGCTTTTTACTCACACCATGTTGATAGACAGATATCCAGGTGGGAGGGAAAAATTAGACGAGTCCATACAGGGAGGGGAACTGTTTCAAACCATTGTGTATAATCCAGTAAGTTTTTTCTAGTTATTTATTTTTACGATAGTATATCTGAAATTTATCCATTAAAATCGTAGCTTATATAAACCAACTAATTCAGATGTGCTGCATAGCAATTTGCCTAGTAGCAGACTGCAGAAACCTTTCAGCATTTGCTTTTGTGTAAAACAGAGACGTATTTAAAAATTTTATTATTTGGCCATCAGGTTCAATAAATAAATAAAATTCAGTATAAATAAAAATTTTGAAATAAATCGGTTTACTGCTTTTAAGGTTCTTTGGGTTCTCTAAAAGAAAAGGTATATAAACTGAAAAATTTAAAAAAATGTAGGTATACATAAGAATGTATATAATAAATATATTTTACTAATATTTGCAATGCATTTTGAAAATAATATACTCTAATGATTTAAGCAATACATTGCATATAGTTTACACAAAAAAAGGATTTTCGAGGATATTTCTTGGGAGGTCATCTTTGAATTGTGTTGATTATCGTATTGCTTTCAGTCATTTTAAGTTAATAATAAAAAAAAGACACTGAAAACTGCTAACTACCCTGTCTGTAAACACAAAATGTTTCAATAAAAGTTTATCGGAAAAATATATTCTTTTTAAATATTAAAAAAAAAACGGTTGTGTTCCTGGAACAACACAATTTTCGAAATATCTAAAACTTTAATTTTTGGTGCAAAATGTACTTTAGTCCAGGCCGCTTGAACTCGATAGTTCAAATTTTCAGTAACATTTTTCATTACCCTGTAATATCATTAGGGCGTCGAGTGTGGAACACCCTGTACAGTCTAATCAAGTGATTACTTATTACTTAACAAATGCTTAACGGAGACTCAAAGTACCGGGCCTTAATTTAATGTTTTAAATATGTTGTAACTGAAATATGCAAGTGTTTCGAAGAAATTTAACATTAATTAAAATGTTGCTGGAACATGTAAAAATCTGATAATTTTTTTTCCTTTGGGCCATAGACCTATTTTATTTTACTTTTGAGAAGCAGGGCACCAAAGATGATTTTTTTTAATCATATGACCAAAGTATAATATAATTTTTGTTCGAGAGAAACAGTTTAGTGTACCAAAGTCATCCGTCTTCTGTCCTTAAATGATTTTATATTTTTATACCTATTCTGTCAAAGCAAAGATAAATCTTATTTAACCAAAATACCTTTTGTTGTGTAAAATAACATTTATACACAATGTCACATATTGAGCTATGTTCAGTGTAAAATCGTATTTTACGGTATTTCTTATGTAACGTGTACTAGAGATAGCTTTAATGGAATCAGAAAAACCTAAGTTGTGCCAGCCTAACTTATTAGTTTAGATATTTTTATTAATATTTAAAAAAGGGGCAAACTGGAAGGCTTGAATTTAAGCGGATTGGATCTCTAGACATTATTGCACTGACCTGTTCAAAGTTTTCAAATCGAACAATTCACTGAGTAGGTTTTAAAAGGTCATTTCGCTCAGCCACCAATTTTAATATTTGTTTTGTTCATGCTATTTTCAAAGCTAAACCTAAAGGTCTTGTTTAAATTTATTTTATTTATCTTTATTTTTTATCCGCATCACATGTCATTGTGATCTTGTATCATAATTATTTTTAATGTTTCTTTGAAAAATTTTATTATAAAATTAATCAATTAAGACAATATGAAAAATTACCTTATTCCTTGATCTTTTACATCAGACATTTCAAAAATTGCATTTCTAGATCAACATTTTTATGACTCACATGTCAAACTATGGCAACGACAGATTAGGATTATACACTTTTGAATCAGTAATAAAATTCATCCAGTGTTGGACAAATATCAAATTGACTTCTGCTCCGCCACTGCAGTTGGCTGAAAATTATTTCAAATTGTACCCTGGAGAAGCAGATCCTGTGTGGGGGGTAAGAATTCAGTATTTTTTTAAAGATAAGTATATGTTTACAATAATTGTAGAATCCTTGTGATGATGTAAGGCACCAAAAGATTTGGTCTCGTAACAAGTCCTGTGATTCGTTACCAAAGTTTTTGGTAATAGGACCTCAAAAGACTGGTACTACAGCATTGTACACATTTTTATCTCTTCATCCAGCTATAGCAAGTAATTTACCTAGTCCGACTACTTTTGAAGAAATTCAGTTTTTTAATGCTCACAATTATCTAAGGGGATTAGACTGGTAAGATTTTCACCAAATCTATGATAAGGATGTCTGTCTTGGCTATGATGAAAACAGTGAAAGATACAAAGTGGGTCAAATTAGAAAAAAATTTACCTATTATTGGACCATTGAAATAGCATAGTAATAAATCTCAGATACACATTTATGCTGAATAAAAAGAAATACAGTTTTCAAAAATATTTATAATTAAAAAAAAAATTTATTTCAAAAACTTATATGTTCTCCTTTTATGAAAAAATTTAAGCTTTAACGATGCAACAGGAATATAGTGTTTTGTCGACACTTTGAACCTTTTCTTCACGTAGATCAGTGTTGACAGAAAGTGAGGAGTATCTTTCTTCCACGGTTTTTCATGTGAAAAAAAATCGACAAACATCTAAAAATCTGGTATTTAAGTCTCCCATACTGTGACAAAAACCACACCCTGGGAGCGAACGGGTGTAAGTTTTAAAAAATTGAATAATAAAATTAATTTATTCTGGTAATAGAAAAAATAAAAAAAACAACAAAATTCAATATTTGTAAAATTACTCAAAAATAAAAAATATATCTGAGCTCTATTTTGTCCATTTTAAATTTGAGCCACCTTGTATCTTTAACCAATGACATTATTGTCAAAACAGTCATCTTTGACTTGGACATGGTTTATTTCTTTTGTGAAGAGGATCGATAATAGAAGTATGCTATTCATAATTCCATTCAAACATTTTTAGGTACATGGATTTTTTCCCGTCAGATACTAATTCCTCTGCTCGGTACTACTTTGAAAAGAGTGCTACATACTTTGATGGTGAATTAGTCCCAAAGAGGGTGCACGCTCTTCTACCTCACGCAAAATTGATAACGATATTGATATCCCCCGCAAAACGGGCCTATTCTTGGTATCAGCACACTAAGGCTCATGGCGACATAATAGCTAATAATTATAGTTTCCATCAGGTTATAACGGCTAGCGATACCGCCCCAAAACCGCTAAGAGATTTGAGGAACCGGTGCTTAAATCCAGGTAAATATGCTCAACACCTGGAGAGGTGGATGACGTATTTTTTGCCGCAAGCTCTACACATTATCGATGGGGAGGAGCTGAAGAGTAATCCGATTGAGGTTATGAACGAGGTGCAGAAGTTTTTGAAAATTACGCCGGTTTTTAACTACACCGAACATCTGAGGTAAGTTACTGTTTACATTTTTTGCATGGCTGCTCTTACCACAGCTTACCACGTTATGTGGCAGTTGCTAGACTAGTTGATTTTGAGCATTTTATTGTATGTTAGCGCCTTAATGTTTTATCGAAATTGAGCATTGCTATGATTCTTTGCACGCTTGATTCAATCCTCTAAGCGCAATATCATTAGGTGAATCAATAGGTAGACGAGCTTACAGAAAATACCACCGGGAAACAAAAAATATGGTGATATAGGAAAAAAATTCTAAGATAGTGTTTTTTTCTTGAAGCGCATAAATTGCGAAGTTAACCTAAAAAATTCATAAAAGTCAAAAAAAACGGTTTTTTGCTAATAAAAAAAAACTTAGACTCCTATTGAAAAAAGTTAAAATAGAAAGTTGTAGCTATTAAAAAAACCTATCGATTCGTATTTTTAAATATATCAATTGCTATATTACTTTTCGAGATATAAAGGAAAAAATTGACTAAAATCAACTTTTTTTAAGGTTTTGAAACTTGTTACTTGCTGTAAATGTAGCCCTCGGCAAGCAAAAAAAGTGCCTTTTTTTTAAATTGAAGAATATTACAAACTTTTCGAGTTATATCAATTTTTCGAAAAAAAGGTCATCTCGAAAATCAGCTCTTTTTGCTCGACCAATAGTTGTGGAGAAACGAATCAAGGGTTCATTTTTCCTTAAGAGTAGTACTTTCATGATAAAAAAGAGTGATAAGGATTTTATTCATTTCAAGTGTCCAAATATGACTGAAAAAAGTAAAAATTTTTTGGTCGCGTTTTTTTTTTAATATCTTTTTGATTTTCATTTCTTGATGTCGATTACAGGAATCGATTGCTGGCAATTTTACGCGAATTTTAAAAAAACCTTGCTCTACGACCTTCTGGAGCCGAGATAATTTTTTTTTTTTTCAAAAAATTCCACAGGCCCCTATTTAAGTGCTACAGCGTCCATTCCTATAGAGATTGAAGTTGAAGACTTATATTTTCAATAAAAAAATACTGTGGTTCATTTTGGCCACCGCTCAGAAAACTGAATTCTTTCGTTCAAAAGCGCTCTTACTTTCAAAATCTTCATTATCTCGACTTCTGGACCACGTATAAAAATCCTTTTGTTATTAAAATGGGGTAGCTCGACGACATAAACCAAAATATGACGTTTACGACGGCCTCAACAGCATAATTACCTTTGAAAAATGTAATTGTCCTTTAGTCTAAAATTCTGTCACCCAGAGCTAGTAAAGTACAAAAATAGAAATATGTTACTGAAATTTGCAAATAACCAATAAATGATCATAAGTGACATTCTCCAGTGAGTTACTGATTTTTAAATCGTCATTGTCATTAGCTGTTACTAAAATTAATCCATTTGTTAATTTAGACATCTTGATGTTTTGAAAGACATATCTCTTTTCTTCAAAGTTTCTTCTTTTATGCATTTGGAAAAGCTTTATTTTTGATACAGTGTGTTTAAAATTAATGATTACTTACTTTAATTTATGTGGCAAAAAACAGTTAAGGAGAATCATATAAATAATATTTTATTTCACAAGGAGAAGGCAAGGTAATGGGATTTTTGTAATTTTTTATATTTATGGTACGTGTAGTTTGGACCTTGAATAAGAATTTTCCGAAGTAGTTCCAAGCAACATTCATAAACTACCGAGATAACTGATTTTGAGGTTTAATCTGTCAGCTAAATTAACTACTAGAAGCTACACATTTTCAACTAGGAGCGTGGCCTAGTTGGTAGCGTTTGGTTCCGACAGTCACGAAATCGTTCATTCGAGTCTCGTTGCTCGACATTTTTTTTCCCCCTTCAAAACGCACCATATATTTTTGTTTATTCTATTTCTCATCTTGAAAATTATAAATAAAGAAATATTTTAATAACTACTTACAGACATATATGTAGGAATATTCTTCAAATATTTCATTAAACTACACAATTGGTTGACAAACAATATTTATTATGAATTAGCAATAAGATTTCTTTGAAAAAAAAAAAACAAACGAGGTCAGGTAGGCTGTTCTTTTATTTTATATTTACAATTAGTATTTGACATTTTACGTAGTGTAGCATGAACAAGAACGGTATAGTTATCATAGAAACGTGGGAAGCAGAAATTTTTTAAGCATCTAGCACATCTTATAAATGTTATGTTTGTACAGGCACATTTTGTTTTCAACATATCGATGTCGAAGCAAACATTGTTAACATTTTGAAAGATTGTGCCACACTGAGTAAAATGTCAAATATTAATTGTAAATATAAAATAAAAGAACAGCCTACCTGACCTCATTTGTTTTTTTTTTTTCAAAGAAATCTCATTGCTAATTCATAATAAATATTGTTTATCAACCAATTGTGCAGTTTAATGAAATATTTGAAGAATATTCCTACATATATGTACATAAATAGTAGTATTTCGTTTATTCGTAATTTTCGAAATGAGAAAAAGAATAAAAAAAATATGGTGCATTTTGAACGTGACTCGGAATCGAACGCTACCAACTAGGCCACGCTCCCAGTTAAAAAATGTGTCGCATCTAGTGGATTTAGCTGACAAGTAAAACTTCAAAACCGATTATCGTGGTAATTTATGAAAATTCTTATTCAAGATCTAAACTACACGTACCATAAATATCAAAAATTACAAAAATCCAATTACCTTGCCTTCTCCTTGTCAGTCATGGATAACTACTTGAATTATTATCTTAATATTAATTACACTTTCTAATTCAATCAAATTTGAATTATATATTTTCAGCCATTTCCTTGTAATTCAAAAAAAATCACAATTTTTCTTTTTTTATTTTATTGCTCTTTATTGTTGCAACGAAAAGTTTTTGAGTAAGTACATGTTTATATGAACTATTTTGGTTAACTTGTGACATAATCTACAATTAAAGCTGTGCCAAATATGTTAGTTTTAAAAAAGTAGTGCACCCTTTTTATCTTTGTTGTATATTTATGTCCTCATTTTCCTATTCATCTTCATCCAAATCCTACTATTTAACTTTTAGTTTTTAATTATTATCATCAGGTAAATAGCAAAAAAAGTAAAACGAAGAATATTTTGTTTTACAGATTTGACCCAAAAAAAGGCTTCTTCTGCCAAGTCGTAAACGGAGACCACACTAAATGTCTTGGTCGCAGTAAAGGCAGACAATATCCTCCCATGGAAGAGAAGTCACTGAAATACCTTCAGAGGTATTATTTGAGCCATAATACTGCTTTAGTCAAATTGTATAAAAAGAATGGCATTAGAACTATTCCAAATTGGCTAAAAGAAGATTTGTCGGATAAAACTGACGACAACTAAGGTTTTAAATTAAGTTATTAGCTTTATTGTACATTTTCATCACATAAAGATACTTATGGTATTATAAGTTTATGGTATACTATTTGAAAATATTTTTTATTGTAAATATTTTACAATATTTTATTTTTGTACTTATACTACTATTTAATATTTATTACATTTCTTCCTCTTAGTAGCTGATTTTAACTTCTGTATAATTTATTTATTTAGTCGAATATATAATTGAAATGCAAATAATTTATATCTAATATGGAAAATAACACGTAAGTTATTAATAAGTATGGCAATACATATTTTAAAATTCTTTACATAATACAACAATAATAAAAAAGTAATAGTGGTATTAATAATGAAAATAGAGCTTTTCCTTTGAAATCAACTTATGTATCGAGTCGTACTTTGAATTTTTTAAATACAGATGTATTTAAGTCAATTGAAGGTATCTCAAAATTCACGTTTTAGATAATTTCCTGTTACAGTGGTATTCCTAATTAATTCTTCAATTCAGTCTTAACCGATATTAAAAATCCTGGACAAAAATGTTTCTTGTGAAAGTAATTTCCAGAGGTTCGTTTTCTTTTTCTTAGTCGCCACGTTCACACCATCTTTACACTTTAAAGTATTTTTTGACATGGATGCAACATAAAACAATCTTTCTGCTCATAATTTTCGAACATAAACAGAGACTAATGAACTACTGACTGAAAGGTAACACGTTCACTGTCGGCTATGGTAATTAAATCCGTACCCCATGCCAGGTATGTTTTTATGGAAAAGTAAAAATTTTAAAAACTTCCTTAAATAACTCTGCAGATATAATAAATGAGTTTTGACGTTTCCTGGTAATTTTTTGTTTTGGACGCGCTGGAGTGTCCGTGACACTGGAGGTCTAATTTTGTGTATAGGCGCAACTGGACGCACTAGCGCGTCCAGCCTCTAATCGTTATTTATAATTAGTGACATAATCACTTACAAAATGTACAAGGTGTGGCAAGATAACTTCCTTATTTCGTAATGCAATGAAACAAAAATAGTAAAGATATATTTTCAATTTTTTTTTTATTAAAAAGTTAAACATTTAAAGTTGTGGTTTACATCGTTTTAAAAATCATATCTGGTAAGTGACGTCCCCCACTGTCGATATACTGGTTGAACCGAATTCTGCTATTTGCCGAGATTGCGCACCAAACGGTGAAACGTTGTGAATGCAAAGGCGTCTGATGGAGTTCTCGGTGGTTGTTGCCAGCCTAGTAGCGCATATTTAGCTTATTGACATATCCAGTCAAATTAAAATGAAAACAGAAGCGCGTCTTCAAGAAGTGCTCTACATGCATTTCTTCGAACATTAGTCGCGTTCGTAAAGTTCCTGCACAATGGCCAACTTGTGAAAGAAATGGATAGATTCTCAGGGGTTCTGGTGGGACGTGCGTCCTCAGTTCTTCTTTTCTGCACAGAACCAGTCTCCCTGAACGTAGTGACACACAAAAGAATTGATTTCCGGTCCAAAATAGGACCCAATGGTGCAGTATTGAAGCGATTTCGGAAGGCGTGCTATCTTGCCGCACCTTGTATTTGAAATAGAAAAATATCAAACAGAAAATTGATAATCCACAAAATAAGCAAAATGTATTGTATTCAGAAAATATGAAAACAAAATGAACAAAAATAAAAGTCAAAAGTAAATAAGCGGACCTTCTATAAAACATAATTTTGGATAGACATAAATTGTGTAAGAAATGTATATTCTTCAATAAACATCTTTGAAAACAAAACAAAAATAGAAGAAATCGATATGCTAATAATTCCGAAAAAAAACGGGCCCATAAAATTACAGTTTATTACGTTACTCAAGTGACTCTACACGCACTACCGAACAAACTGATATTGAATAGAAACGGAGAAGGCATACACACATAACTCAAGTTGACATGCTAGCGCGTTAGAGGCAGTGAACGTGTTAAAATTAGGTCTTCTCTAACATGGCGTGTTCGAATTTTTGTAACTTTAAAACAGTTAGTGAGCGCAATTCAAAAGCAAGTCTGGAAATCAGTCCTGCATCGAACTTTAATAGCTTATGTCAAATGCACATGGGGCTTACTGAATAATAATAAACTGCTCTTCTCCCACACAAGTCTCCGACTTCTGGGATAATCCATGCGATTAGAATGAAGGGTAAAGTTGTTATTTTATTATTAATAGAGCAAATAAGAGTTGTTTAAGAGTTCTAATGCTGGGATCACAATATTTTCAAATGATTTTGATGTCCAAGATTAATTTAAAAAATCCCCAGAGTTCTGACTCCAAACGGGTTGGGAACGTGTATGTGTACAGGGTGTCTCAAATTCTGTGCCCCTGGGCTGTTATTGGCTAATAAAAGACCTGCGTAAAAATTTCCCTTGAGGTTTCAAATAGGAGATCGAAAACTCTCATCAAAAGTCGACAGTTTTGTTTAATTTCAAAATACTTTTATGTTCTAGAACACAAAAATCTTTTTAATTCTAGCACATAAAACAAATGACAAAATAATTTGTCATTTTCTTGAAACTTATTTATGATTTTATTAATTAAACAATATATGTACAATTTAAATAATTTCAATACAAAACAGTAACTATTATAAACAAGATGATTACAATTTATTTTGCACTACTTGTAAATTGATAGTGTCGATATTGCAGAGAGTTAATTTTATGCTAGATCCAATACTGTCAGTTATCGTAGCTTTTAGTTCTAGGTGTTCAATGAGGCTGCTGCTGTAATTATTTAAGTTTACTGCGCACGTTGTATTATTATTGGCAAGTTCCGTTGGTTCTGCTGAAGATGGTAAAAATTTATTTCAGATTGAAATTTTATTTTGTATAGAATCTTCTATAGCTATAGGTCTCCGCTACCGTACTAGAATGCCACCCCCCATGTCGTTTAGTGGTGGTAATATCGGCCCCTGTGTCGGCTAATAGAATGGTGAAATAATGTCTAAAATACTGGCACTCTCCTCATTTTGTTGATACCAACCACTTGGTTAACACATTTTTCTCTGACATACTTCACAAAAAATCTTCGACTTGTAGTAACTGAAATCACAAAACATCTTGGAGTATGAGTTTTGGAATCAATCGTTATCTTTAGTAACTCGTCTCTTCTCAAAGCTCCACAAACACCAATTATTAAAATGTGAAAAGTTGTCCAAAATTAGTTAAAATTGATTGATTTATATTAATTTGATTTACCTTTTCTAGCAGAAATCTATTATCAGGTGCTTCTTGTAAAAATCTCTCAATTTCCTCTTTTGTTAGAATTCTGGACTTTTTCGGACGGTATCCAACTGATTTGCTTTTCAAATATTGTATTAGTTTTGGAAATTTTCTGGTGTGTACTTTTTAACATGGAATATACATAACGTCGAAGGTTTAATTTTATTAATTTTATGTTCGAAATGTGCCGGTAATACCGCTTTGGACACTTTTGGATTTTCTTCAAACTACACCACCCTTTGAATTTGTTGTAGGTTGTCTCGACGCTTTTTTGGGGATTCATTGATGTGAAACAGCACTTTGTGCCACTTCCAATACTTCCCCTGGTAAATGCTCTTAGAATATGAATTGCAATATATAATTCTGTCACTACTTTTTCAAACACCTAATTTTTATTGTTTATTAGGTTGCTAGCGTTATGATAGTCACCACGCCTAAACCATCTTAAATCAAACACGATTCAAACGATTTCAAATATAAATTTGTTGTTAAATTGTATTTATATAACACAATTGTCTTATTTTATTGCAGTTATCGAAAAATATTCTTTGCGTCTTGAACACGAAATGCTTTTGCATTCTCGAATGGATATTTTGCCTCGCTAAACTCGGCAAAGTAACTTCCATTCTTGAACGCAAAAGTACCACTTTGAGTTCTACATACAAAAATAACTAATATGTCATAACAGGTATTTCTAAAAGTTGCAAAATTAATATTTATTTTTGGCTTAAAAGTAAGTCAAAGTGGTCCTATTTGAAACTCCCAAGCGAAATCTTTATTCGCATTTTTTATTGGCCAATAGCAGCCTTTGGACAACGAGTTTGAGGCTGTACATTGCACTGTAAAATTGTATTGGTTTTTTACTTCACTCAAAATATTAAAATAGTCATTAAATTTTGCCAGGAAGAGCTCTATTTTTCTTTATTAATTTTTTGCCCGTTCGTCAAATGTCTCTATTAGACAGAATTTGGACTATTTTTTGGGATTTTATAAATTTTACATATCACATTAAGTACTAGCAATACATTTCTTATAATTAAGAATTTGAAACAGCCAAAGCCTGTACCTGCCGGAGCATAACTTGTAAAGGCCTCTGTAAAGATAACAATTTAAATACTCCCCACACATGGCATCTATGCTAATTTAAATTCAACAAATTAAAAAAATGTGCAATAGTTTCCTTGCGTCCAAATATAGAGCTTATATTGTATTCTAAATGTAATTTTACTAACTGTTAATTTAATATGTGTAAAGTATAGTACAATTATTTGTAGGAAAACAAGATAAATTTGTAAAGTAGATTCAATAATTGTATTTATAGTGAAGAGTAGAATAGTTCAACATTTTCTCATACATATCCAATGACTGAGTGTTTTATATAATAGTAATTTCATCAGAACTTCAAAACGGTCAACTTCAAAATAACAGCGCAAAGACCAATTAGCCGTCAGTTTTGTTAACGCTGTCTTTAATAATTATTCCATTGGGGAACTTTAACCACTATTCAGATCATTCACAAGTATTTCTGTGAAATTAGGATGCACTGATATTGGACAACAGACATTTGTAGTAATTTTTTTTTCCTTGTGTTACTATTATACTACCATACACCTGGTGATTCAGTTTGATATTCGCGGCCTTGTATTTCTTTTGTTTTATCAAATAGCCATAACAAACCCTATATATTTTTAAATCGCCACTCAAACTCTATCAAATGATATTGTTAGATCGTCTCCATAGTAACATATGTTAAAATTGCTGTAGTCGACTGTTTTTGTTCAAATGGCACACTATATATTTTTTTATCAATTCTGGAAGATATTTTTTTCTGCATTCAGCTATATAAAGAAGTCTATAATTTCATTAGAAATATTACTAGAAAAACAGCATCTTCTTTATATAGCTGAATGCAGAAAAAAAATTTATTTCAGAATTGATAAAAATATATATAGTGTGTCATTTGAACAAAAACAGTTAACTATAGCAATTTTGACATATGTTACCATGGAGACGATCTAATAATGTCATTTGATAGAGTTTGAGCGGCGATTTAAAAATATATAGGGTTTTTTATTTATAGCTATTTGTTAAAATAAAAGACATACAGGGCCGCGAATACCAAACTGAATCACCCGGTATGTGTATGTTGGGAAATATAAATAACCTGCAATTCAGTTTTCAGTATTTTCAGCACATGTTTTCCAAAATGGTGTATCCTGGATTTTTTTTTCAACACTGCATTTCTTCTTTTATTGTACTACTGACTGGGCGTATATTATTGACATCGTATATATTTTTTTGTACATCATCCATTATATCAAATTGTTCATTAGTCCATGATAGATAGTCCATGTGATCCCAATTTACGGAATTACGGAACTTGGGATTCTCTAGTTTGTTTAATGGAATATTTCTTTAAAGAAATTCGTCTGTAAGTTCATAGAAAAATACAGGCTGGATGAGGCATGGCTCTTCAAATGTCTTGTCGCTTTAGTTTTGTAACAAGAATTTATAATGCGTTCACACACAGTACAAAACAGGTCATTTCCTTTAATACGTATATGCCTGCAACCTTCAGGATCACTTTCAAACCACATTTGAAATTATTCCCGTCTATTTCTTTTCTCTTTTGACATTTTACTTCGCTTTTTCCCCCCCAACTAATTGTTGTTGATAAATTATGTTACTATTTATAATTACTTATTTAAATACACACGGCGAATAGAATTTATAGCAGACGTAAAAAAGAAAGGTATCGACGCGACACCAACTACTACAAAGTTCCATAAATAACAACAATTCAAAATGCAAGTCAGCTGTGAAGGCTACCGACACCCGCACCAGCTCTGTTAGATTGCACGTGCACTAAACCTCGTAATAAGAGTTGTTGCTGCTGTAGAAGGTGGCACGGTGACCCACAGCATTCAGGCCTAGATTAACCATCGTACATGCTGCTAGTTAGTATTTGAAATAGTATTGTACTGTGAGCCTTAAGAATTAATTGGTTAATTTGTTTATAATGCTATAACTTGTATATTATTCAACTTACCGATTCCAGATTTCGTGTGAGTTATTAGACAGTTATAAGGAATGAGAGGATGCGATACTAAACTCAGTTTATAAATGTTTAATTCAAAAGTCATAAATAAACTAGCGCTGGAGCGTTGCCCTATGAAAATAACATCGCGTCGTTGTACTATCTGGACACTTTCAGTGCATATAACTCCCTATGCTGTAGGTCCCATAATGACTCGCACTTGTGATTGAAAATAGTATGTGCAACTCGTTCGGAAAAGTTGCCATAGCGCCACTATTATCTGCATTAGCGATGTTATTAACGAATGCTAGTCCCTTCCTACTCCCTTTGCCGACATGCATCCCCAGATTATGACTCCTCGAGGAAGGCTTTCTTTGCCATTTGTTTAAACGCAAACTCTCAACACTCTCGTCAAATCTGGACTTATCACTGAAAATTATTCGAAGCCAGTCTTCACTTGTCCAAATAGCTTTTTATTTAGGTCAAACTAAATCCTTCATCTTCTGAAATTCTGTCAGCAACTGTTTTTATTTTAGTGGCTATTTTCTGAGATGTGCAGATGTTAACAAGAGGTCTTTATGCCCTTTTCCAGACAAAAGATCTCATTTTATTATGGACTAGCAAAAATCAATATACTTTAAAAATTCCTTGTATATATTATGTTCAAAAATTTCAATTGATATACAACACATATCTGGATTTATAAATTGGGAGAATAAACATAATATTAATAATAAGAATTATTATTATTATTATTATTAATTAATATTTCTTTTGTTGCACCCAGGTGATCATTTTGTTATCGAGACTTAAAAAAGAAGTTTGTTCACTTCGTTGAGTGTATGTTTCATAAAATGTAAACTCATCTTGGCTTATTCTGATGATGGTTTTGCTTTCTGTAGAAGATTTTTTTAAGACTGTTAAATAAATACGTATTCACCTTTTGAAGTTCTGATTCTAATTGTTACATTACATTAAGAAAATATCAAGTTATTTCATTGTACATATATTATTGTGCCATTTTTGTAAATATAATAAATTAAACTACCAATTGTCAAATACTAGTGAATGGGCTATTTTTTCTTTCTGAATTTGATATAAATCATATTCCAATAGCGATTAAGCAGTAGAAAAGTAAAATATCTTAATCAAATTAAATTATTAACATAAAAATTAGTTTAATTACTCGGACTTCAGTGATTTTTATTTTCCTT